GTGAGCGAGGGGCTGCCTGGGGCTTACTTGCTGGCTGGGGCTAAATCATGACAATCTCTCAGATACTTCGCTGTCAATATACACAATTTAAACTATGCTTATTTTAAGATGTGATAATAAATAATTGCTTGCTTGGCTATGTGTTTATGCAATTTGAAACACTTAAGAAAATATGCTTTCCATTTGTGATAGCTTGGTAATGTTCTTTTTGGAATACATATTCTAAATATAAAGTATTTTCCTAGAAGTTAGGTTAAATTATGTGGAAAGCAAAAATGTTGTCCACATTACTTTCAGAACTACACAGCAGATACAGCTGACTGACTAATCAAAGAATATAACGAGTCAGGCAGGGTCGTGAAACTCTTAAAGTGATTTATGTAGCACAATCTGATTTCTCCGTGATTTGGTCCTTCTCTAGGTCTTAAATTTGCATGCTATTGATGATGACATTCCGGAGCTAAATGAGTATTTCCGTGTGACATTAGTCTCTGCAGTGTCTGGAGATGGAAAACTAGGTTCGACTCCTACCAGTGGAGCAAGTATAGACCCAGAAAAAGAAACTACTGATATCAGCATCAAAGCCAGTGACCACCCATATGGTAATGAAGATGGGGATGGTACAGTCGTGTTGCAGATAATTGTGTAGTTCTAGCTCAACAGAAAAAAAACTTTGCTTAGCCTTGATAGTTGAGGAAACAATGCCAAGTGTTCCATTTTATCTAACTTGAGATTAGTTCATGATTTGTACACGAGTGAAATCTGAGTTACTTATTCTTGAGAATTTTACAAAAAGACATCAAAGCTTCCCTGACCAAACATGTGATGGTTCCCTTCAGAAAGCAAGTAAAGGTTGCATGTAGTTGATCCTGTGCAAGTTTTTCTCAGATGAGAATTCCTGACGAAGAGAGCCATTTCTGCATGCTTATTGTATGCATAAGTACCCAATACTGACATATTGAGGCTCTTTTAGGGAAGACCTGAATTAGTTATTGTGCTGTGGCTTTATCAAAACTGTTATGGATATCAGTGAGAGAAGGGAAGGTACACAGCACATCCCTGGAAGTATTGTGATTGACGCCTAAGAGCATATCAATAATTAATTTTTAATTTCAGAAATGCTACAAAATGTAAATATTATCAATAATTTGGTTTCAATTGATTATAAAATAATTTAAATTCGGTGAGAGAAGCCATGTAAATAGTACTTCTTGTCTGCCAGGTCTACTACAGTTCTCTGTGGGGCCACCTCCTCAGCCAGGTGATGAAATGATTCTGACAGCCTCTGCTCTGCCTCATATTACAATTAAAGAAGAAGTTGGACACATCAGATTACTGGTAGTTCGTGCACAAGGCCTTCTTGGAACAGTTCTGGTGGAATACAGAACAGTGTCACTTACAGCTTTCAGTCCTAAAGATTATCAGGTATGGCCATTGCCAAGGTGTGTAATTATTTTGGAATTTAATTTGAGGTATTTGTCCTGGAGATAGCCTTCAGTTTGAGTATTTTAGCCAGCTGTGATTCCTTTCACAAAAACACCTTGTTTTGTATGGTGATGTGATAAATGAGTAAGTAAATGAGTGTAATATTAACTTTAAAATATATATCATTATGTGACTTTTACCTCCTGTGTGTGCAGGATGCTTTATTTCCTAGGAAAAGCCTAGGGAAAGTTTTGATTTTTTTTTTCTTAAGAGAATTGTCAATGTAGCAGGAAAGGACATTTGCTGTTGTTGCTGAATGTATCAAACTTTATATATGCATCCAGGTTAAGATTATGTTTGTACATACTGGGGTTTTCACATGTTCAACAAAATAACCTGTGTGTATCTGTGTTTGCTTGTCTAACTGATATTTGTGCAGGGAATGTAGATGAATGCAAACGCTTGTAATTGTGTGAATTTAGACGTCTTTTTCTCATATCAAGGATTCAGCAGATTTTTTAAAAGCTTAAATGAAGAAAAGTAGATGTTTTGACAAAGGCAAAAAAAATCAAGTTTCTGTTTCTTTTTTAATATGGATGAAAACATTAGACTTAAACAAAAATGTGAAGAGCTTTCATATTGCAGGCTGTTGTGGGCACGCTGGAATTTCAGCCAGGAGAAAGATACAAGTACATTACTGTTAACATCACTGATAATTCTATTCCTGAATTAGAAAAGACTTTTAAAGTGGAGCTGTTGAACCCAGAGGGAGGAGGTAAGGCACGTATGTCAATCCATTGGTTGTATTTTCATGATCTCTACTCATCCATTAAAATCTTACCTTTCTTAGGTGTCCTTTTTCCATGTTATTTCTAAAGACAAACAAACACCCCTACATCCCCAGACAGCTGTAATTTTTCTTAACTGTTCTTCAGATATTTTGCTATTCATTGCTGGAAACCACCAGATCCCAAAGAAAGCATATGATTACCATGTAGTAGGTCATTTAAAGGCAATTGCTGCTTTTCACATTATATAATTTCATGGTTGGTAATGAGAATTGAAATAATGTAAAAAATACATAAATTCAAATATTTTTAAAAAATTCAATATTTATAAAATATTTAAGGCTAAACAAAGTGGTTTTTTTATCTGCCACTTGAGTGAAATTGGAGGAATTGCGATACACTGGCTCATAATGTATTCAGCTGGATTATAGCAGTAAGAGACTGCGTGTTGAGAAGCCCGAGGAGTTTAGCTGAGGTGGAGAGGTAGCTGGTAGCTCTGTGGAAGAACAAGAAAAACACTCAGAGGACATTCTGGTGTGAGATGTTTAGTCTCAGAAGGGGTGGCAAGCATCAGTGTTCCTGCCGTGTAAAACCACTCAGCCCTTACAGAAACACTTTTTTTCCACTGGAGAAAATTTTTAAGGGAGATTGTAAAGCTGGTTGGAGTAATTAGAAACGTTGGCAGCCATGAAGTGACTTTTTAACTGATGTTTTTTAATCAATCCCAAAATGCAAATGTGTTGCCTTCTGGGAAGTTATATCATACTACCTTGAATGTCCATAGTGATTCTTTAGATAAAAACTTCAGACCTTTCATGCATGTGGCCTTTTTGGTCAAATAGTTGTTTTGTTAAATGAACTTTTCCCTTTTTTTTTTTTTTTGTCAGAAAACTTTTGTCAGAAAACAGCTAACTCTAGTAATTCACTAAAGCAGATAACCTCTTAACATAAACTGTCTTTTTGGCCTTTCCAGTACCATTGTAGCACAAAACTTAGGGTAAAGTCTCCATAGGTAAGCTTTCTGCAGTTTTTTCCAACTTTCTGACACCTGTTTTCACTTTGTGAGAAAATATGAGAATAAGAGAGTTTGGGGTGTTTAAGCCCCTGTGGGTTTTTTTATTCGCATTTCCAATTTCTCCATGACAGACCACATATAGGAGTGAGAAAGGGGACATACAAAGAAGGGACACAAAGAGGGAAAGAAAGAAAAGAGGAAACAGAATTGTATGTGTTTTCTTTCCTTCTGACCTCTCATTGCTATTTCCAAGGTCATAACAGAAATCCTGTATACTTTCATATCCAAAACTGATGCCTTCCTAGACTAATTCCATCTCTTTTTGTGTTGTCCGGAAATGTTTAAATTACTTTCTGCTTTCTCTTTATTTATAAATGTATATATGTGTATATATCTGTATGTCTGTCATCTTAAAGTTGCTGAGCTCTTTAGAAATGATGGCAGTGGTAGTGGTGATGGGAACATGGATTTCTTCCTTTCAACTGTCCATCAACATGGTAAGCATTTTCAATTAATCCTATTTTTTATTGCTAACTGTAATATCCTTCATAAATTACTATACTGACACAACTTGTCATAATGTTACTTTACTTGCAGTTACAGGTAATTAACTTAATTTAATATACAGTTCTGTCAAAACATTCTTTTCCATTTTAATTTAGGCATAATATCAATAGCAGTCAGTGCTTAGTGTAACACAAAAATAACAGCTTCTATACCATCAATACTATATTGTTGTAAAACACAATATAGTAATTCCAGAAGTACAGTTTGCAAAATTGTTTTTTTTTTTTTAAATTGTCAAATTTTCTGGAGAGCAAAAAACAAAGACACTTTTAAAATGGAAAGCAATTTAAAACTTACCTGATTGTATGCTTTGGTATGTGCTTTATGTTACTTTGATTCTCTCCGTATCAAAAATGCTTTTAGAGAAAAGTAATCTGTTGGATTTTTGAAGGAATGTTTTGATTTTTTTTTTCATTTCTTTAAGTTTGTACTTACGACATACAGAAAACAACGATAATTTAATACTGAGAATATTAAAAAAAAACAGATGCAGAAATAACATAAAATCTGAGAGAAAACCCTGATGATATAGGACTTCAGATTAAACCCTACAGATCTGAAAATGTTGTATGAGCAGCCATTATCCAAGTGGAATAGTTTATTCCCTTGTGACAACCTGATTCTCAATTTTACTTGTAATCTGAGAATAATTCTGTGGGTTAGCCACTTTTTGGAGCTTCCTGTATTTTTTTGAAGTGCTGTTTCCCATTTCCTTGTTTCCAGAATTGGTTTTCTTAAGTGCCCGGCTCTTTCTCTGAGCAGCAAGTTACCTCACCCAAGACAATCTTCTTAGTAGTAGCTTTTACATGACTGACTCACTTTTTCTTTGTTTTTCATTCCACCTTAAGTTAGGATGAGACCTGCATTTGTCTGGTCTATCTGCTTACACTGAGGTTTCCCATATAACTCCACACCATCCTAAATTCATTAAACCTGTAATTTTATTTCTCTTCCTCCCTTAAAATATTCATATTCATTACACTTTTTATTGCATAGTTCTACAGAAGGGCTGCCAGGACTGCATTATTGAAAGTCAGTTCCTTATCCATGTGGATAGTTATAATGCATTTCAAAAAAAACAGACAAAACAACATGGATACTCCAGTTGTGCTCTCCTATCTATTTTTTGTAAGATATTTCTTTAGCTGCTTTCTTTCGTGTAAGAAGAGATGATAGAGAAAATAATCTTTTTTGGTACTTGCACTTAACAGCTAGCTTGGGAATTGCATCCCACATCCTTGTGACTATTGAGGCCTCTGATGATGCTCATGGTGTGTTTGAGTTCAGTACTGAGTCACTCTCGGTAAATGGAACTGAGCCTGAAGATGGAGATAGCAACATCGTGCTGCAGGTGAGAAAGCTTTGAGTCTTAATATTGCTGTGCAGTCCTCTTCTGTCTCTGTTTTTACGGGGTGTTCTGCTATGTTTTTGCCCTAAGTCTATAGGGTTTGTAGTAAATTTTTCATGTGCATCTGTTTTGCCATTTCATACCGAGTTTTCTAATGTGTATCATTCAGCTTGAAGCTAAAATGTTGTAATAATAGTATCCACAGGTTTAAAATCACTTCTACTTGTTTGCATTTGAGGTGCTACTATCTTAAAGTAACAGTGTTGAGGGTAAAACAAATAGAGCAAACCTGAGATAATAAAGATTACACTGTTTTTTTAAGACAAATTTATTTTTAACGCATCATGTCAATGTCTTTGCTTAATTCCATCTCATACCTTTATTTTTTCTTTCTCATAGAACAAAAACATGCAGATCTTTATATTTTCATTTAGGTTGTGAGAACCCATGGGGCCTTGTCTCAGGTGACACTGCATTGGATCATAGTCTGTGATCTTACTGAAGACCTGATCTCTACAGATGGGAACCTAACATTTGATGTTGGCCAAACGAGAGCAAATGTTACAGTACAGGTTTCTCCTGATGATGTTCCTGAATTGGATAAGGTGTTTTCAGTTTTGATCATCAATGTCTCCAATGGTCGTCTTGGAAATCATACTAATGCAACATTAACTATTTTAGCTAATGATGATCCATATGGAGTCTTCATCTTTTCTGAGCAAAACAGACCAATAAAAGTTGAGGAAGAAACAAAAAATATCTCCCTGACAATAATAAGGTGTGGTGGTCTCTTTGGGACAGTGATGATAACATACAGAACTATTGGTGATGATGAAAATTCTCCCTTTCTTCCACCTGATGTTGTTAGAGCAATACAGGGAAAAGATTATATACCCATTACAGGTTACATAATCTTCGCAGCCAATGAAAGTGAGGCCACAATATTTTTGCCTATTTTGGATGATGACGATCCTGAGAGGTCCGAGTCTATTTTTGTGGAGCTAAGCAGTATTGTTTTGATTGAGAAAGTACAGGATCGGCCAAGTAAGTATCCTACATACGTAAAACCTACAACTGAAATATGAAGGCTAGTATTTATATTTAATACAATAAAATACAACAAGTTAAATGATAAACTTTTTACTTCTGCCAAACTCTGTATAGATAGATAAATCTCTGAGTTACCTGCTTTGCGTGTTGGTGGCATATAATTCCTTTAATGAACTATTGTGTCAGGGATGGATGAGCATTTCTTTATCCCTCTTGTATGGCCTTATCCAAGGTCTTTCAGGCCAAATATGTTACAGTATTGCTTTTGTGCACTAATACCTGTTCATCTAGTGTTGTTTCTCTAAAGTTCAGTGTTAGGAAGTAACTAAGCTACTTTTGTTCATTGAGAGACAAAAAAGTCTTTTAAAAATAAGTGGTGTAGAATTACAGCCATATGTTGCTTTTTTAGTGTAGAGAATGTTTGCTCATTTGGATAAATTCAGGTCATTACAGCCTAATTTGTGCTTCAAAGGTTCTTGACATGTTAAGGGAAACTTCAAATATAATTCTGCTGGGAAGTTGAAATCTTATTTATATTTCATCATAGCAAGTGTTAAAGTGAAGTTTTTCTGAACTGTATTGATCTTACTACTGGCCTTATGGACAAATAAAAAAATAAACAAAATATTTCACAGTACCTCACCTCTTCAGAAAAATTATAGCTTAAACAGTCCACAGCAGGGTAGAATAATAAGTTATCAAAAATTGGGATTTTTCTGCCATAATATAATTCAAACACCAAAAGTATCTCGGTGCAGTTTGTAGTTATACTGTGTCCAATTCTAAAAAGTATAATTTTCTTGAAATCTAGTGGCAACTATCCACTAAACTCACATGTATGTCTATGAACTCTATAGCCATAGACAGCAAGCACCTCAGGCACCACCTCACTAAGTTTTCTTTATGTTTCAGTTGTAAATTCTCCTCGACTTGGAGTAGTGGGTGAAACAACAGCTCATGTAATTATCAATGCCAATGACGATGCTTTTGGAACACTTCAGCTTTCAGCTTCAACTGTGCGAGTTGCTGAAAATTATGTTGGGCCAATCATTAATGTGACCAGAACTGGGGGATTATTTGCAGATGTTTCTGTGAAATTTAAAGCTATGCCAATAACTGCAACAGCTGGTAAGATATCAGAAGAGCAGAAGTATGCAGTCTATGTTAAAGTGGAAAGAGCATGTTGTATGTTTTGAGCAATCAAAGCAAACAAGTATGTATTGAATCCACTATCCTATAACAAGTGAAAAAAAAAAAGTAGTGATACATTTACTAACTCTGCTCAGCAAATAGGAATCCAAGCCCTATGGGAGAGATCATGCATCAGCTTTTAGCCTGAGTCATAATCACTGAAGAATCTAGCAAGAGAAATGAGTGAAGAAATTGGGATGCGTGTTTCCCTAGTAGCCCACCATCTCTTCAAAAAAAGAAAATAAATACAAATAAAAAATACTGTAGTAGTGTATATAGCTACTGTTTAGTCCTGCGTACACATTTAAACCCACCATGCATTGTTAGGTGAGCTTATTGGAGAGGAGGTGAGAGTTGGGAACTCAGCTGTAAAACAAACGGGCAAAACCCAATCAAAACCCAAGAGACTTAAACTTCTAAAAATGGGAGCTTAAGTTCTCCAGTTGGTCACTGCTATAGAGAAGGTACGTGAACAAAGGAGCAACCTTATGAAGTGTGCAGCGTCAAAACCACTTACCAGTTATAAATCAAACCCACTCTATTTCAGCTGTGTCCAAAATTGAATAGGTGGGTGGTACATGCTCTGAGAACTGGTGTTTTAGTCTCCTTTTTATGTAACAGACTTTCCTAAATAAGTGTGTAGCTAGATTAAAGTCAGAGTATGCTTCCAGTTATTTTCTGAAGCAGAGCCATTATCTAGGATACCGCAGTTGTTCATCCAGACATTCTTAGAGACAAGTTTGCCTGAAGTGAGGTCCACACACAAAATGTGCCTTTTATTAAAATCTACTTTGACAAAGGTACTTCTGTTCACTTTTATCTCTTGGAAAGCCAGAGAGCAATTAGAAATCAAAAGACAGAAACATCTTGGTAGTGTGACCTTGTCAATGGAAGGCAATAATGGACCTTTTGTAACTACCTCTCGGTCTAACAGTGCGAACTCTGTTTTGGCCAAGCCAAGTTTTATTTTAATCCATCCAGATATCTAAAAGGCAATGGGAAATAAAAAAGACTTTGTTGTCTGGGTCTGAAGATAAAGAAAAAACCCCATAAAAACATGGAGGAATGTGTGTATAAGCAAAAAGAGAAGATAAGTATTACTGATGATGTTCAATATACTAAACCACAATGCATTAATATTCTGTGATTTTTATTTTCTGTTTTTTCATCTACAATTCTAGGCGAGGACTACAGTGTAGCCTCATCAGATGTTGTCTTACTAGAAGGAGAAACAAGTAAAGCTGTGCCAATTTATATTATTAATGATATCAATCCTGAAGTTGAGGAGTCATTCTATGTTCAGCTGCTGAATCAAACAACAGGAGGAGCCTTGCTTGGATCTTTGACTAGGGCGATCATAACTATTGAGGTTTCTGATGACCCATTTGGATCCTTTGGTAAATGAGTCTTATTTGCATATTTTCCCTCTTCTGTTAACATTTTTGCTGCAGATTTGTGGGTGAGCTGTTACTGGGCAACTGAATAAAAATGTTCAGAAGACAAGGAGGAAGCCTGGATGAAGACGGTAAAGGAAAAGATAAGATAAAATAAACCGAAACATGTAATTAAGGAGTAATGGTGCTTTAATGTAACTGAAAAGTATCATTTAGTCAGTTGATACAGCAAGAGTTTGGAATCTCCCAATAGAAATAGATGGATTTTAGTTTAATTTTCATTTTTTATGTTTTCTAAATGTTTCATTTCTGCAGTAAGTTTAAGCCAAAATCTGCATTCTAGTATCTCTTGCTTAAATACCTTGATTCTTTGTTTTACTAGATAATTAGCCAGAGCCAATTTAAAAATCTGGGGAAACTGAAAAATACGAAGTTAAATGAAATTACATTCTCTCATTTTCTGTCAATTACTTTAGTTTTTCTTCTGTCTGTTATTATCAATAAAATGAGTTGTGTATACTTTCCAAAATTAGTTTCATTACACAACTTTTGAGAAGGGTTTTGGTGATTTCAGAAAATTAATGATATTTTAGAAATCTATCTTTTTTGCTTGCTTTTTTTTTGTGTGTGTGTATTTTTTCCTGCCTCTTCCTTTGACTATCTTTTTCTCCCTTCAGTGCCCTATTTAATTGCTCTTATTCCATTTTATCAGTAGAAGAAGGCAGAGAAAAGAAAGAAAAAATGTCAAAAGTAAATAATTACAGATTGGTAATTAATTAATTTAATTCTTAAAACCTAAAAGTTTTAGTCTTCCTTACAAGGAATACTTTTACTTGAAACAATTTCTGATGGAATATGTTGACTTATCTTCAGTAAGTGACATGAGAGCTCCTGAAGCATTTCCTTGCTGGGAATAATTATGAAATTGTCTTCTAACAGCTTAGAAACAGCTCATGGTTAGTCTTGAACAATGGGTATGTTGCAATAAACTTTTTGGATGAGGGCTTAATTTTCATGCTCGTTTCCTTGTAGATGAAAATATTAATACTGAAAGATCTCTTTTACGTTTAAACTTGATTAAAAGATTTACCTGTGCAAGTAAATGCAATCAAGTGAAATAAAACTATGTAATTCAGGAGTTGATGCATTTACTTCCAATTTGATTGCTGATGAAATATGTCTCTGCTGTACTTCAGTTTTTCAGATTACCGAATTCACTGTGGAGGAGCCTGAATTTGGATCAGTAACTATAAATCTGCCAATAATCCGCAATGCTGGGACACTTGGTAATGTTACTGTTGAGTGGGTTGCTACCATTAATGGACAACCTGCGGATGCTGACATGCAGGTCACCTTGGGTAATATTACTTTTGCCCCTGGTGAAGCCATTCAGATGTTGCTGTTGGAAATCTTGGCTGATGATGTTCCAGAAATAGAAGAAGTAAGTAAAGCAGTTATGTCTTTCTTGAATAGTGTTAGAGTTTTAACTTGTTATAGAAATGTGTGCAATGAAAAACAAGGAATGTTCCGGAAGGAAAGTGCAAGAAGTTCAGATTTTACGTTGCTTGTGATTGTTGTTAGAAATACCAAAAGTTGTTTAGCTGCATTATTTCCTTTTCTTTTTTTTTCTTTTTGAGATTGTCCGTGTAGAATTAACTCAAGCCTCCAGTGGTGGTGCTATTGGGTTAGATGGCGTGGCAAATATTATAATACCTGCCAATGATAATCCTTATGGCACAATTTTCTTTCATCAATCATTATATCGAATTCAAGAGCCACTAGAAAGAAATTTACTTGCAAATATAACAGTCAGGCGAAGGTTTGTATAATGTTTGCTTTATTTATCTGTTTGTTTTTTTTTGGCTTGGCTATAATGTCAAATGTCATGCTCTTCATATAAGTATTTGTATCAATTTCTTGATCTGAGAGCTCAACACATTTTTATTTCATATAAAATTGTTTTTGAACTAGACGTCTGCTTATTAGAAATGTACATAAAATACTTAAACATACATTGTAATGTGCTATGTAAACCTAATGTACATAGTGTACTTGAAGTTTCATTTTGCCTATTTAATCATCAAACCATTTAAAACTGCACAACAGCCTGATCCTGTGATTTGAAACAAGAGGACAAAATGGGTCAGCTCTTGTGGAATGGAAAGCAACAAGAAAAGGAAAACAGGTCTTATGCATGTGATACAATATCCTGAGGACACCTAGGTGGAAATAAGGCAAGGTTGGGCAACACGAGCATTTTCTTCCTTGCCAACTCTAAGAAGACTAAGTTAATTCCTAGAAACAAATATTTGCAAACATGCATTCTTAACAGACTGCTAGCCAAGCTATAAATAATCAAACTTGCTATCCACAAAAAATGACAACTCAGTTTTTCTAGTACTAGCTTCAGGGGAATGCACTTTCGTTGGAAATTTGGAACTTTTCAGCAATTCAGAAAGGGCCAGTTGATTTTATTCACTTTTATTCTTAACCCAGAAACATACAGAATATTAGACATACTTTATCAACTAACATTCCTTTTTTATTTTAATGTCTTTTAGTGGGGGAAGGTTTGGTCAGCTGCAGATATTTTACAGCACTTCTGAGATTGACATCATAGCTCTTGCCATTGAGCAAGGTCAGGATATCCTGGCCTGTTATGAGTCTCCTGTGCAAGGAATTTCTGACCAACCACCCAAGACCAGAGTGAATGTGTCGGCAGCAAGTGACCCACTGTCTGCCTGTGCAACTCAGTGCCTAAAAGAACAAGCGTGTTCAGCCTTCACGTTTTCCAGTGCCTCTGAGATTCCTCTCTGCCTGTGGCTGGCATCGGAGGTCAGCCCATTGACTAACACTTCAGGATTCTGGACCTACAAGAAAAACATCACCAGTGCATCTGCTCTCTTTAGCACACAAGCCATCGCTGGTAGTGATTATGAATCTATTACAAGACAGTGGGCCATAATGCAGGAAGGGGAAGAGTTTGCAGATCTCACAATTACCATATTCCCTGACAGTCTGCCAGAGTTGGATGAGAAATTCACTATATCCCTTTTGAAAGTTGAACTAATGAACGTCTCAGCCAGCTTAAAAAATCAACCAACTATAGGACAGCCAAATACTTCCACAGTTATCATAATGATGAATGGAGATGCATTTGGAGTATTTAAGATCTACAGCGTAAGTCCCAATGCGACAGAGAAAGGTCTGTATATTGAAGTAGAAGAACGTCCTCAGACCAACGTGCAGCTAATGATACATAGAACAGAAGGCAGCCTGGGACAGGTGACAGTGGAATGGCGTGTGGTTGGTGGAACTGCTACCCCAAACTTGGATTTTGTAGGTGTTGGTGAGACTCTGGTGTTCGCTGAAGGTGAGGTTTTGTACTAGCTTCCTTTTTATAAAACTAAAGAAAAGCACAAATGAATGTTTTGATAAGTGATGTCTTGTTCTTGGGCTAAACCTCCTTGGATGCTCAGGATACGTATTCAAAAGAATACAGTTCATTAGTATATAGCATTATGTTGCAGAATACACACAGTGGTAGTAAAAAAAAAAGATGAAAAGCATAAATATCTAAGTATGTTTTTAAGAAATATTGCAGTGTGCATTATAAAGATTACCTTTTTACCAAATAAATAAGGAATAATAATGCTGAAGATGTTATATCAAGGACAGTAAAAATGAGAATCGGGTCTAACTGGTCTTTTGTTAACCTTCAGTCAGTACAGTACTAATTCTTCATGATATCTCTTTTTAGATTCTGAGATTGTATTGATTTCGTAACATAACGTAACAGCATCTTAAAAAAAATTGCAAACAGGATGAACAAGTCAATGGCGAACTTTACTAAAGTACCACGGAGCATGACAGATATGTTTTACATTTTCAAAATCTGAGTTATTTTGAGTTATAAAGGACAGTTACTTTGAAAGCAATTTATCGGAGTGTAGTAAAGATTCTGGTGAGCTCGCTTGCAAAATCATCGGAACTCAAAAGAAGTGTTGCCAGCAGTGATTCTGAGGCTGAAATGTAATTGCATTAGTAGTGATAAGTTGAATAAAAACTGTTTCAAAATATTTTGAAAGACAATGTGGGAAGAAAAATGTGTCTTGTAAACTGATATTCTCATAATCATAAATCACAGGTCATGCACATGCACTGAGCAACAAGATTGTGTTGTAAATTATAATGGATTGTAAAGACTGGTAATTGATTATGTTTGTTGTTCACATTATCATTCTTTGATAGTTCAGAAGACAAATAGCTAACACAGTGACAGCCCATTTTAATGAATTCCCTGGCCCAGTAAACATATTCAAAGTGAGTGTACATACTTGTGTATGTGGTTCATCAGAGAACTTACACATTTAGTAATAATTTTACAAGAATGATAATTCCCCTTTTCTCAGTTAAATTTGAAAGTCAGAGAACTTATAACGCAAATACAGAATTCTAGACATGCAGAAACAATTCCTACATTGTTAATTTTCACACAATGTATTTAATAATTGGATAATTACATTGCCCTAATGTAACTTTTCAATAGTAATTGAATAAAATTTCATGACATTCAGTAACTTCTAGACAGGCAAATAAATAAATATGCTTCATGGCTGTTCTTATATTTTTTAAGTATTTCCTACAAAAGGAGGTGACAAAGTCTTTTTAAAAGCTGATTTCCATGTGCACGCATAAATATGTATATGTTCTTCTCCTTGTAGGGGAAACAAAAAAGATGGTCATGCTGACCATTTTAGATGATCCAGAGCCAGAGGATAATGAAAGTATCATAATCAGCCTGGTCCATACTGAAGGAGGGAGTCGGATTCTGCCCAGTTTTGACACTGTCACAGTGATTATTCTGGCAAGTGACAACGTGGCAGGAATTATTAGCTTCCAGACGGCCTCAAGATCTGTTATTGGTCATGAAGGTGGGTTCTTTATGTTGATCACACTCTGTTTAACATTAGCTTCCATCTCCATGCTTTCTGTTGATAGTGACTCACAGTGGCTGTTTTTATCACCATTAGAAAATGCCAGCAAGCAGAGAATAACCACATGCTTGGCATGTATTTGTATTTTTAACTCTTACAAGGATAGCACTTAAATGAAATCTATAGAAAGCATGAGTACACCATTTGCAAACCCTTTCTATATATCATCATCTGTGCTTTCCTTTTTTTCTGAAGATCATGCCTTGCTTCTGTTGGTATTGCATTTCAAAGCTCCTTTTAGCATTTCTTGTTTTTTTTAATTTATACCATATTCCAGAACTGTATATAACTGTATATAACTCCCATCATACACCTATGAGTAGCCATAACCAAATCTCATCTATCAGTGACTTACAATTAACTTTAAATCTTTGAGAAAATACTCCCACAGAATGGTTAGGATCACATCTTCCCTCTTCCTGACTCAGAAACCTACTGTTCTAAAACCTTCTGTTTATGCTTTTTTATGGTAGGTAATTTAGGAATGGAGCAATTGCTGTCATCACTCAGTTTTGAGAAAGCACAATAATAATTTGATATGGACTAAAGGTTTCTATTAGTGCTTTAAAAGAGCCTGTTGCATATTTGATCTAAGGTTTGATGCAGTTCTGCAAAGGATAATAACAGTACTAATGGTGATTGCTTTCAGCAGCCTTTGCTGGAATTTCAATTTATTGTCTATCGTATTTTTCTGACATGTAAACTGATGAGCAGGGAAAGTTAACAAAACAGAAATTTGCTGTCCAGGAATGTGTGCATTGCATTTTCTGTTTGGAGAAAAAAGGTCTTCTCAACCAAATGTGTTCTGTTTTTTTCCCAGAAATGAAAGGACATCATAACCTTTTGTTTTTTGTCTAGATATGATTTGTGCTAATTCAGTGCTAGTGTGTGCCTGGTTTTCATCCTTTATTCCTCCACATTAACAGTTCTGACCCACCTGCCAAGCCAGCTGCAATCTGGCAGGCTAAGAAGAGCTGTTAATGAGCACAAGGAATTAATACAAACTGTCTCATTCCCAGAGGTCACAATGACTGTGAATTCTTTCCACTGGTTAAATATTATTCGTAGCATGCTAGCAAATACTGGCTATTTGGAGCGGTAATACTCTGCTATAGTTTGGAAATTACTTGATTCCAATTACTCCAGCTTGTGAAAAATAGTGCATTATCTTACAGCAAGAAAAACCAACCAACCTAATTCCCTTTGATAAAAAAAACAAAGAATCAGCTAAGGCCTTTAAATGATTTCAGTGTTTGTATTTAATTTTCAGTATCAAGTTTTTGTTCTGAAAACAAGATTGATCAGACATAAATCCAAATATGATTATCTTTTATATTTATTGTATTATTGAACATTTTCTGTCAAGCAAATCTGTGTTATTTTCAAGCTTGTGCATACTGTTTATCACTTTATTGAGGGCAAGGGTAGCATTTTATTACAGGCAGAGGCATGCAACATTTGTGTAGCTATGACTGTATCAGGGCAAATGCACTGTAGTAGCTTGAAATAAGGAAGAAGAGGAGGAGGCCTGAGGGCCCCTTCTTCTCCCTGATGAATGTAGAAATCTAAAGATACGGATAACATGGTAAAATACTAAAAAACTTTAAAAGTTAAATTAGCCTAATAACACTTTCAATCTTCATAAATCAATTAGTACGTGTATTAGTATTTCTTTCTGGATAGGGATACCAAAGATTTTGGTAAAGCTGACGAAGAAACATGAATCAGTAATTAACTGCTTGGGGTCCGCAATTGTGATGAATTGTGCGTCAGGTTTCTTAGTTTTTGGATTACAGTGTAACGGGTTTCTGCATCATCATAAAGCGTTTTGTCCCAGTTTTCAGAGAAAATTCATTGTATTACATGTATCGAAATAAGCTTTGTCTTTGTGCATTCTGCAATGGTACTAAAGTAACCATTTTTCTGTTAAATACTTACTTTTTTGCAATGGATGTGTAAAATTCTTAAATAGGATAGAAAGGATTTCAGTGCAGTGTTAAACAAAATGATAAATAAGCCTCAGGGGAACCTGTAAACTGACGGTCTATCCTCAGATATTCTGTAGAAGCAGAATCCTTGTGATGCCAATAAATTTTGAATTCTTTTATTCCCTTAGAAGCAAAATGTAACAACTTAAGACAAAAATATGAACATCTCCAAGGCTTAACTGAAGTTTGAAATGTTAAGGCTGAATAACACATACTAAAACTATTTATTTAAAAATGGGTGTATACGATTCTTTTATTACTTCTTCTCAATTTTATATTTTAATTAATTATACTAAGGTCTCTTGAAGTTAGTTGTTCATCTCTCTCTCATCGATAGCCAGTATACATGCATGTCTCTAATATTTCCTTACCAAAAAAAGAACACATCTAGAAAACGTTCAAATTGTTCCTGCCAGTTTTAGCTATACAATACTGGCCTGCAATATAGTATACTAGAATAGCCAGATAGCATCCTAACTTGATGCTCTTCAAATTACATAATCAGAGAGACTAGCTGGGCTGCTCAGTTCTCTATGCCATGGAGCAGGAAGCCGCATAACACCACATCTTCTGTCTCACTGTCATAGATGCATCTCAACCCTTCTCAAGAGGGTTGCTTCTAAGCATGTACGTAGCACAAATCAGAGGACAGAATTATTCCTAGATTTTGCAACAGTGAATGAGATTCAAAGCAGTTTATAGCAATGCTAAGACAGCCTTTTTCAGTCAGTTGGGGATGGAACTAAGTTTGTCAGACTTCATCACTAAGATACATTTTGACAAATTTTCATTTAGTTTTCTTCATTCTTCAGTAAGAATTCTTCATTGTTTAGTAAGCAAAAGAATTCTTTCTTCTTCTAAATTCTTTATTCTTCTAAATTCTAATTCTTTATTCTTCTGAATTCTAATTCTTTATTCTTCTAAAAATCTTCATTCTTTAGTAAGCAAAAGAAATCTCATTTATTGTTATTTCCAAGCGTCTCAGCATTATAGATTTCTGCATATTTAATGTATTTGAAAGCCAATGCAGCACTGTACATACTGGCAAACTTAAATTCTGTGCACTTGAAAAATGCTATCGACATATGGATATGACATACTGACCTATGCATGCAATGTACTTACATAGTACTTATTAAGAATAATTTATAGTAT